AAAATGTGCTGTATCTGTTCTCATTTCCAGCAAATGATAGATTCTTTCTCAGTTTGCAGAAGCTTTATTGTATACACCTGGCATAATTTATACCTGCCCTGCACTGGTGGATTTATCCATCTGGCTGGTTTTTGTTCAAACATTTGACCCTGCCTTTGTCCTAGAGGAGACTCTGAGCTCTTTGGTGATCTTGCTGCTTATGGAGGCACTGCACTATATCCCAAACACGAAACGCGGTGACCAGCTCTTGTGTATATCACAAAGTATGGAGTGAAAAACTATGAAATTTCCACAGTGCATGACCTATTTGATTCTATTTTCATAAAGCCCCAAAACAAGCAAACAAAACTATCTAACATTTTGGCTCACACACTGTATCTTTGAATCTAGTCTCTTGAGATGTGTATTTTTTTTTCTGAATGAGTACCATCAAATATTGTTGAACAAAAGCAGGAAGAAATATAAAGTTAGGTTGTGTCATGGGATGAAATGAAATTAAAAATACAAAACATAAATGCTTTACAATATTTTAAGACAATAATCTAATAGTTGAATGTCTTTAAGTCTGTGTCTCAGAAAAAATTAAATAAAAGACCCTGTGAAAATAAAAACACACAAACTCCACACTTAAGTGTAAAAAGTTCTCTCTCTCTCTCTCTCTCTCTCTCTCTGTCTCTCTCTCTCTCTCTTCCTTTCTTTCTTTGTAACTGATTTATACATTTTCCACTGTCTGGATTCCTGATAGAGCACTCTACTCTGTCCCTCTAAGAGTATCACAGAGTTTTCTGGTACAAACCAGAGGGTTAAATACATCCCTTTGCATCCTTTCCAATCTCGGACAACCTTACACATCTATACCTCGTGCACTGACCACGCAACAGCTGCACATGCCTCCCCCGATGGTGTGAAGACAGGGCTCAGATGTGACCACAGATATGACTCTTCTCTGGCCTTTCTCTGGTAAGTGTTCTCCTTGTGTCCACGGAATATGATCCTTCCGCAAGCCTGCAACCTGTCCTGTCAGTGTGGCTGAGCTCTTCTGACCTTTGACCCTGACCTCTTCCTTTTGTCACTCCAGATCTGGCTTGTCTCCATAGCATACGTCTTACGCCCAGAAGAAACTCTACCTATGACATGCTGACCCAACTCAAGACCGAATTAGTGACACCTGTGGCTGCTCATTCTTTTCCCTGTCGTTGTACAGAACTCTGGGCACCCTGGACCTCTCTCTCTCTCCCAGTGTGAGGTCTTGTGTGGAAGCGGAGGAGCTGAATTTGGTTCCAGTGTGCCTTCACAAGTTATTTGCTTCATGAGCTAGTCTATGCTGCCATTAAGCACCCTGAAACAGACCCTGATTTCCCAAACGAGAGCCAGATGGGAAACACGTGTATTCTAGTTCCCAGTCCTATGCAGAAACGTGGAGCAAAGAAGGAGTCAAGAGAGGAAGTAAGAGTAAATATACATCGTATCCTTTTCCTTCTATACCTGTAGATGGAAGAAGCGATTGAAGTACTTTATCTGTTCTCTGGATGAGACTTAGTCTTGGCATAGCTTTTGTCTGCTTGCACATACCTTTTCACAGCCCCCTTTATTACACGTTTGTGCTTGTTCCAAAAGCTTTACACAAATAATTCCATTTAACCCTCACATCTCCACACGAGGTCAGTACTTATTATCCTGACAGATGAAAAGTTCTACAAGTTGCCGACACAGCTAGGAATGGGATCCTTGTGGTTTGAGAAAATCTATGCTCAATTGCTGGGTTGGACTCTTTGTTATCTGGTTAGGTGAGAAGACTAAGAAAATACGTAAACTGTACGCGAATGAAAGTTTCATTATTTTAGTATTTTCAGATTTTGACTTTACTTTTGCTAAGAGACATGGTCAAGAGGACCCTGACAAATACAACACGTCGAGAAACCTGAGAGATTCAATATGCAAAGTACAAGTGCTGTTATTTCAAACAGGAGACGGAAACTGCAGAATAACAGTGGGAATGAGCAGACAGGCTCAACCTTAGAAAGACCCAATTAGAGCGGCATTTGGATCCACACTTTCTATGTGGAAATTTTCACCTGGGTGCTTCTCATTTCCTTTAATTTAATGAATCCTATCTCTCATAGAAAAATTGATTGCATGACAGGATCTCTTGTTTGAATTTTTAAAGTGATTGCTGAACGCCCACAAGATAAGAAACAAATCCAGGCTCAGGGAATGTATGGGGAGGAGGGGTTAGTGACCAAGCTCTTTACTGAGAGTGGCTTAATCTTTTTTCTATTTCTTGTTCTTAGTGTGTTCTATTGTACCATATGAAAATAAGAGACTGATATTTTTAATACATGATTTTACTGTTACCTTTGTACAAAAATATTTTGACCTGATTAGCATCCCACAAGGACTCTTTTTGTCTCTCGTCTTCCCCCAGTGTGTATACAGCTTGTCTCTGACTATTTATTTTTCCTGATGCCAGCTCCCTGGTGAAGCATTTCTTTTGTAATTTATACAGATGGGACTTTACTGACAGATTTGGGATGGAGAGAAGGTGCTATTGATAATTTTAGGAGCAAAACACATAATCTCTGAGTCTGTGTCAGCGGGTGGAGGTCAGTTCTTAAGTTAGTGTTTTCAGGACAGATTTCCAAGGTGTTCACAGCTTGGAACTGACCATGATGGGAAATTTATGTGACAGAAATCTACAAACAAAGCACAAACATTCTCTTTTGTTTTGTTTTTCTGGAGCGCTGTATTGCTTTGCTCACACACCGATGAAAATAAAACTGTCTATTCTTTATCCACTGTAAGCCTTAGTTTTAAAATTTATGCATTTGTATACTGAAATATGTACCTATAGGCTTCCTTTCAACGTTAACATTATATGAATGGGGATATATATCTTGGCAAAAAGATATAACCTTCAGCTTCACATAGTATAAATATTACATGACACATGATAGCCTAATTAATATCCACACTGTTTTTACTAATATTAATATACATATATAGCTAAAATAATTTTAATATAAGTTGTTCTTAGGTTATATTTTTCATCTAGTTTTAAGCTATCTAAAACCCCTCTCTTTCTCTTCATTGTATTATGACTGGTATTTTTGTCATGTTAGAGAATCTTGAGCCTCTTGTGGAAGAGAGCAAGGAAGATGAATCTGATAAGGGATAAAACACAAAGCAGATAAGGACACACAGAGTCACAGATTTTGACATCTCCCAAAAGCCGTTACTTGGTGCTCATTGGGGAGAAGCAGACGCTGAGGAGAGAGAGAGAAAAGCCTAGATATGGGTTATACTTTTATTTAAAACTCAACTTCATTTCCAACCCACAGAACCCAAGCTAATTCAGCCACCGTCTAAGTAGCTTTTGAGCAGTGGAAATGGGACAGGTTTTGGACACGTCTTTAAATATTCCCCTGGCTCCTAAATGCCAGGCCACCGTAGGGCTTTCCTGTTCAGGCATCGTCTGCTCCTCAGTAACAATCCTTCAGCTTTTACCCTTCGGAACTCCCACTCTGAAGAAAAGGAAAACCAAAGCCAAAACCTGTGGGGCAGTGGTGGCGCACACCTTTAATCCCAGCGCTTAGGAGGAGGCAGGCGAATCTCTGTGAGTTCGAAGCCAGCTTGGTCTACAAGAGCTAGTTCCAGGAAAGGCTCCAAACTAGAGTGAAACCCTGTCTTGGAAAACCAAAAACCAAACCAAACCAAACCAAAAAACAAAACAAAACAAAAAACAAAATAAAAAAACCAAAACCGAAAACACCTTCTCAACCGATAGACCCTTCCTACTTCTCTTTTCTAAGTGTATTTTCCGGAGCATCATGGAAAAACAGTTACATTTTCTCATTTATTCAGTAAGAGGAACAGATCAGAGGATTTAAATTCATGTCAGTACTAACATTTGAGCAAATATGTGAGGACTATTGAAAGCAACTTTTCTTTTAATTTTGAAGGGTGTTATTTCCTCTTCCCCATGGGATACATCGTAAACTGATGAATCTGAGTCTGTAGTGTTGCAGTTATGACAAGTCCATCCTTTTTAATACCCTTGCTTCTCACCAGCTTTTGCTTTTGAAAGGAGGCACACCGAGTGTGGGGCAAGCAGGGATCAGTAACGTTCTGCTCTAGAAAAGAAAAGAAGGACCGAGGGGCCAGGCTACTCCATGGCTAACTGGGTGGAATTAGGAAACTTATCCTCATTGACCCCAATTTATTAAACACAGTGGAAGGTTTTGTGTCACCAGCATTGGAAAGTAAGACAAGCTCCAAATGTACAGGGAAATCAGGTCAAATTTCAGATGGACAAGCACGGAGCAACAGATGACACATAAACAGATTTTATATATACACACATTAGGTGTAGATTATAGTTAGGTGGTAAATGATAGGCTGTAGATAGATTGATATTTGATAGAGACAGATGCTAGATAAGTGCATAGACAGATGACCATAAGTAGATGATCAAAGATCAACAATAGATTAAAGATAGATGATATATAAATAGATAATACGTAGATAGATGAAAGAAATGTAGATAGATGGGCAGATAGTTGGCATGCTGTTGATAACTATGTTTTTGAGACATAGCCAACAGTATTAAAGGTGTATAACATAGCTTCACATTGGTTGAACTTCTTCACACAGTTCTGTGGTTCAGCCTTTCAGCAAACAGAATTGACTGAATAGAAGTGAAAACCTTAGTGTTTGCTTATAAAAATGTTTTTATGAATAAGCGAGTAGTATGCTAGAAAATACAGTCTTGGTCTACGTAGAACATGGGTATGTACATGAACATGTGGTTGAAATGAACAAGAATGGGAATTAACACTAAAATCTACATCTTTCTCCCACAGGTTTTTAAGAACTGGACAAGAAGATTTATATTTTTTCACCATGAAGATGTAAACGAATTGTTGATTTTTTATCTCTATCTGAAAGGACAACGAGACATCTTTTTTTAAAATAGAAATTTATTTGTAAAACATCATGTAACGTATAACAATGTACTTTAACTCAGACTTCAAACTTGATTTTCTCATATGGGAACAAAATATTGAAGGAAGAACAGGTATTTGAAAAATCGGAAAAGCAGTGACTGTCCTGATAATTTCTAAACTCTAGACGATGTCCACATTTTCCATACCTGTGCTTAACTTACCAGAAACTTAAACTAGACTTCAGTGAAATAAAAAGTAAATGGAATCAACTAATGCTAAAACAAAAGGGAAATACAGCAAAAAATTCATGTTATTACCGTTGATTAGGGAGAAACTTTCTATACGAAATGGAGTCCTGGATACTATTTGAACTCACCCCTCAGACGCACCACTGTGGTACTGATAGGCACAGGAGGCATCTGCCCTGAGAATAGATTCTTAGCACATTCAGCCTGTTTCCCCAGTGAACTGAAGGAGTCTGTAAGTTCTCCTTACTATGTAAAGTGCAAGCAAGGAACAAAGCAGAACCAGAGATAAAAGAAGGTCCATGAAAGGAAGAAAGACAATGGCTTCGTTCACGAGTCAATGTTCAATGATTTCTTGCTCTGTGATAAATAAATGTCATTAACAACGTTTTGATTGTAGCTACAGCAATCGTTAGGAAGAACTGCAGAGGGCAAACAACATGTTTTCACATCACTGCTGGCAGTGGGAACTTCAAGGTAAGCTTGTTCCTTAACTTTAAGAAGGTCCTTTGGGCTGCTCTTCACTTGGAGTTCTGTGACAGCTCTCGGGATTTTCAACCAATGAGAAGAAGAAATCTAGAGACTCAGGACATGGGGAGCTAATGGTCACCGAGTGGTCAAAACCTTGCCACACCGATTGCTTCAGTTCTTGGCTTTCATGTCTACAGCTTCTGAAGTCACGATTCACAACAGTACTTGATGGTATCTGCAGCTTAGGTTGGTTCTTTGGGAGCTGCGGGTTTTTTGTGTTTTTCTTTTTCTTTTTGCCTTATTGGAAGCTGGTGTTAAGAACAAAAGCAGAAGGAACTTGCTATGCCCTTCCAGTAAAACCAGCCTCAAATTTCCTTCCACACACTTACACAGAAATGCCATCTATGCTAACTCTTTTAAGATTAAATATACCTAGGCATTTCCCCTGTGCTCGGCAGTTTTAATTACAAGTCAGGATTTTATGGGCTGTTCAAAGTCTTCGTGAATGCAACAATTCAACTGATCCAGCTCTATTTAGCCAGGGTTCTAGTGCTGTCTCTCTTCTCCTACTACACCGGCCAAATATTTGATTTGGTTGTTCCATATCAAGGCTGCTCATTATCTTACCCCAGGAATAGACTAACCTCGTCATCATTTGTATCAAAACCTTCATCTTGTAAGGGCTGAAATAGGCACGCCTCTGGGTTTCAATAGCTGCATATTGTCTTACAAAATGAGATCTTGAAAATACAATGTTTTCTATCATGTTAGGGCATTAATCTTGGGCAAAAAAAACCCCTGTCTTCAGAACTATGCTCATAGTTCATAATGATGGTCCAGAAATTTTCTGAGACCCATACAGCTCATATCTTACCACAACCCCAAGTTTTTTTTTTCAATAGCAATAACCAAAGCATAAAACACTATAAACTTCCCTACCAAAGGATAAGAAACTCTGGCTCGAAACAAACAAACAAACAATCGCGAAAGCAACAGCAACAAATAAGTTAAATTTTACAGCCTGCAGCTAAAGGAAGAAAAAATACACAGAGCTGTATGCACAAAGAATATCAGCGGAGGCTAGTAAACATCACCATGGAATGGCATGAAAATATTAAATTACAGCCAGTGATCAATGACTATGCTAATAGGGAACTATGAATGCTTAATCTGAGAGCTATGAAAACACTGTATGTCACAAGCAATTGCTTTGGCGCTTGGATGAATAAGGCCTGCACTACATCACTGCTTCACAGCCTTCAGTATGCACACAAGCTGCCTTCGATACTGTGGAAAGATGCATTCTTGTTAGTAAGCCTGCGAGGGTAGGCCTGATTCCATACTTCTTACATTACTATTAATGCTGATGGGTTTTCTAAGGGTACAAAAGGGAATTAATTCCCAATAAAATGAGATGTCAGGAACAAATATGTTCAGACATCTGAAATAGAAACACACTAGTCACAGAAAATAGAAGCTGGTGAATATAATTCCTTTACCTTGCAAATATGAAAATAATACTTTAAAACCTTTTAAAAATGTGGCCCAGGTAGGGAAATGAATAAGAATGTCCTAATTAGTTTTTTAACCACATAATAAGCATGCCTGAGGGAATTTAATTGAAATATGAACTTGGTCAACTTGTGTAAAATTTGAAATGAACTATATCTATATCACACTAAGACATACTCATTAAAATTCTGAATTCTTTTAGCCTACATTGGTCATCCTTTCTACTTCTGCAGAATATGCAACACACATGGTGATATTTAAAGGATATTTTGTTTAGCTTTCATTAATGATAAAACACAATGCTTTGTTCTGAGGTGGAAAATGAAGACACATTTGCAGACAAGATAAGACAAATACGCAGACAATCATTTTTCTGGCTTTGGGCCATAGCACATAAATATGTGCATTAAAATTACCTATAAATAAACTGGAGCTGGGAGAAGTTAAATGCATCAATGCAATGAAACTATATATGCATTTCACACATTACATGTATCCATGACCCTGATACATCCTTGTGTGCTGGGCTTCTAAAATATTCATGCCTAGTCACATCGAGACTTTGTTGCCTGGCCATGCCATCCACCTTCCGGGCTTCCAGAAGCATTACTGTCTATTTGATCCTCTCTACTCCTCCGTAAGCTTTAGCTGTGAGTAAGGTTTCTATGTTGCTCCAAATGGTTGCTGAATTTCAAGTGGTTAGATTATTCGCTATGTTTGGAGTGGCTAGAGTGTGTGCAGACACCTGTAGGCATGGATACATTTGGGGTGCATGGAGTGTGTGCAGATACTTGTAGGTGTGAATACATTTGGGGTGGCTAGAGTGTGTGCAGACACCAGTAGGTGTGACTACATTTGGGGTGGCTAGAGTGTGTGCAGACACCAGTAGGCATGGCTATATTTGGGGTGGTTAGAATGTGTGCAGACATCTGTAAATATGCATCAGGTAAAACTGGAAATTATTTATTTAATTAATTTTTTTTAAAAAAGCTTGACCTCAAGTGTTCTTCCTAACGTCTAAAACCATTCCTTCAAAATCTTTAAAACTTCATTGTGGATAATAAGTAAAGCAACTCCTGGATTAAAAATAACTTCCAAGCGATTCCCACATGGACTGTTGCTTTGCAAGGCAATTTTTCATTTATAAAGTCAGCAATGTGCAGACAGTGTCTGTATAAATCTCAAACCCATAAAAGTCCCTCGTCCCATAGAAAATAAAATTACATGTGCTGAAAATCTAGAAGTGGAGCACAATATATGTTAACAAAAAATTAAATGATATTTACTGCTATTTCTTATTTATTACATTGAAAACTAATTCAAGATCCAACCAATAGCTAAACTTTTAAGTGATATGCTACTTAGCAAATTGAATCTGTCTATGAAGGTTTTCTGGAGCTAACAACTGCTACAAATGTCCTCTCTCTCTCTCTCTCTCTCTCTCTCTCTCTCTCTCTCTCTCTCTCTCATTGTAAAGCATATTGTTCAAAATATTAGCTTGTGCACATGTTATAAACCCCATATGTTGATTTTTGTGACAATAAAAAGCACAGTTCATTAAAAACAAGTAAAAACCAAGTTTTTTTTTTTATTGGTCAGAGTTTTGTCATTGGTATATGGAGGCTGTTCCATGGGCCCATCCAGAGCTCCTCCTCATCCGATGGCGTATTGTCACCGTGGAATTCCATCGATTCTCTGGAGAGCCTACTGTCTACCATGGACTCCTGCTCGGCTGTGTTTTTCAGCCTGGTCCCTGATGGCTTCACTGCCGAGTGCTCGGCCACCACGGGGCACGGGGCAAATGTGACCAGAGTCGGGGTTCTTTTTACTTTCTCTGTAGGAAATGGCCCCTTGAACAGTGTGTTCAAGGGCACATTCTCCTCACGTGTCACTGCCAACTTGTCTAACTTCTTCACACGCCTCCCGAGTGGCACAGGGGAGGGGACCTTCAAGTTATCAGCAAGGCAGGCACGGCGAGTTCTCACCACGGAGCCGTTCTGTGCGATGTAGATGTTGCCGTTGACCTTGCTGTGTCCACCGGGCTTGTGGGGACAGCTTCTCTGACACTCAGGAGCACTGTCTTCCCCAGTGGAGCTGCTTTCATATTCTCGATCGACCACTAACTTGATCATTCTTTTTCTTGCCCACTAGGGGAAAAGAAAATAAAGAATCACAATAGGCCAGTCATTCTCAAAGGAAATAAAAAGGTCTGTGCAATCCACAGCCATTCCTGGGAAAGAGCCAAAGTCAAGTCTCAGGAAGGAGGAGGAACCTTTTCATCTCCTGTCTTTTTCTCCGATTCTGTATCGGATTCAGAGTTTAGAACTCTTTGAATAAAGTGTTACTGAGTTTGGGTGTAGACTTAATAGGAAACACTTTCTTTTTACATCAAAATATAGCGAGATGGGAAAAGGAAAGTGTATTCACAGGGACATTCCAACCATGGTTTCACAGCTGCTCAGCTATTCAGGGAGTTAAGCAGAAATCCAGGAACAGAATTTATACATTGTACCCATTTTACAGCTTTTCTTTCCAGGATTTTAAAGATACTTCTGAATCCATGTAACTCTGATTTGCTATTCACCTCCTCATGGTAGTGAAGTTGTTGGCACATTTAACACCTGGCATCAGTTGAAGCAATCATGGCTCTCCAGGCCATCTCACTTAGACTCCACTTGCCTAGAGGAACTACCTGCCAACGTGAATGCTTTTCACTCCACAGAATAGCATTCTCCCTGTGGAAGCAACTGAAATCCAATGGATGTTTTCACTGATTCAGTTGCCTTTTACCAACCAATGTCAGAAGCGATGAGGAGCAAAACATAGGCAGGGCTGCCTGTTTCTCCAAATAGTGAGGCACTTTGGGGGAATGAGAACGCCCTCTTTGCATTGAATAGGCAATGTTTTCTGCTCTTCGTATAAATATTTTAAAATATGATGTTTATTTGCCTGGAAGAGAAGTTGTAACTGGTACAATTTATTTTAAACACAACATAAAGGGCAATCACTTTGAACTTTCAAAATACGGTTTCTTTCAACTCCTAGAATTTGAAGGAGTGGGAGCTGATGCAGGGAGCCTTTGATACGGCACCTTCTCAGTGAGCAGAAATGCACAGAAACAATTACTGATATAATTTGTGTAGTATCTATTCCACAAAGACTACATATTTGTCCTATAAACGCGTATCTCCTGTAGCTATAGACAACTGTCACTGATAAGGCCACTTTACAGTCAGTTTTGATCTTTCCCTGTTTGGTGGTCCAGGAGAGAAGAGTCAGTTTAGATCTAATGTGTTTCCGCATGCACATCTATGTAGGTAGCAGAAGTCATCATCGATCTGGAGGCAGAGTGGAATCGTTCTAACGCCAAGAATCATTTCAGAGAACACACAGAAGGCACTGCACACAGGAGCACACACCACCGCAAACCCCACCTACTATGAACTCTTCTAAAGGGCTGTGTTGTAGCCTTGCGAGTTTGCCCCGGGAGATTTCTCTGGGTCTGCATCCTTCCTTCTGTCGTAATCGGGCACCTGGAAGCCCCATGGGCCTCCAGAGAGACTTTCACTAGTGCTGCTGCTGCTGCTCAGCGCTGACTCCTCCTCACTTTCCACGCCTCTCTCCACCGAGGCTGATTCTGCACTGCCCTCCTCAAGGACGTCTTGAGCCTCCAGGCCTGCAGACTCATCCACAGGAGCTGGTGCACTTTCCTCTTCTTCTGCCTGTTCTTCTTCCATCGGAGGCTCTTCCTCCTGCTCTTCCGGTGGCTCCTCTCTCTTGCGTTTCACCTCCTGGACTTCCTCTACCACAGGCCTTCTTCTAGCTAGCACGATGTTTTTCCTTGCTTTCTCTCCTTCGGACTCAGTGGACTCGGATTCCTCTGACTCAGGGGTCGAGCTCTCCTCCTCTTCCTCAGACGGGGTCTCCGACTCAGACTCTTCGGTGGTCTCGGACTCACTGAACTCCGACTCCGTTTCTGTGTATTCTGTGTAGTCGCTCGACTCCTCCTCAGATTCCACGGTGCTTTCTGTAGCTTCCTCCTGGTCTAGAGTTAGTTGGAGATAGTCTTTGTCTTCTTCCTCAAGGCGCCTTCTCCACTCCTCACCCTCAAGGTCAATGCCTCTTTTCTCAGCGAGACCTCTGACTTTCTTAAAAATCATCGGGAATATCCTGGCTCTCTTCCACGTTGGGTATGTGGGCTCAGCGGCTGGTGGCTTCTCAACGGTGACCACTACCTCTTCCTCACTAGGTTCTCTAATTTCAACTTTGGGTTTTTTAACTTTCTCTGGCTCTTCCTGAAAGTTTCGAGAGTGCAATTCAAATGTTAGCCTGAGGATAGTTATGGCGTGATCTCGCCCACATCAATTAATCAGGAATTCATCTTTTGGGTAATAGGCTCAGGAAAGCTATGCAACTAGTTTCCAAAAAAACAATGATGATATTCTTTTCTAATGATAGAGAGAAGCTGGCTGGCAGGCAATAAGTTATTTTATTTTAGCTTTATAGTATTAATACCCAAATCTAATGGTCTCCCTTTACTGTTATTCATAGTTCCATCTTTTAAAAAAATCTTATATTAAGGAAAAATAATTATTGCCATTTTTCTCTCTAAATCTAAAATCTAGAGTTTTGGCTTGTTAGCTTTCTGCTGTGTCTCAGAATTTTTAAAAATCATGAAAATGTATTAGTAATTTGAAAATTTATGAAAAATCCGTCTTGTTGAAGTTTGAACCAATCAGAGCTGCAGTAACGGTCATTTTTATGGAAAGAAAGGGTTGTGTGCCAAATAAATATAGAAGGAAAGATCTAAAAGTTTGAAAGAAATGATTCATGTTAATTTAGAAGTGAGTCACATAATATTTTAAGAATATGGGTGAAGCTAATTTATTCTCTGATTGAAAAATAAAGACTGTATTTTTCATGATTTTAGTTAAGCAGATAATATAAGAACAAAATTAACCAGGTATTGTATAATTTTTAATATATTTGGTTTTTGTCTTTATAGAGAGATGCTCATGATTTTAGAATGCATATTTTATTGCAACTTCTTTTCATATAGAAGGAAATAAACTGAAAAAATTAAGAAATTTCCCTCCACAGATAAGAGGGTGTTGTATTTCCTTGAAAAACAAATACTAAATTATTAGAAATTCTCAAAATTAGAATATTCAAGAGTGTGTTAGTCAAACTGGTTCAAAAACTTGTTATTGCATTGCTGCTTAACTCAACAAAGTCACAGCCTTTACCTCTTCCTCTTCATATTCCTCTTCCGCTTCTTCCATGACTTCACCGTACTCCTCTTGGCCAGCAGGTGGCAGCAGTCGGCGGCGACTTCCATACTGGGGCATTTCATACCTGCAACACAAACGTGGAACTTAAAGACATTTTTCATAGGTGTGAAGCACCTACCACAATAATCTCTGTTTTCTTCTTTTTCTTCACCATTTCATCAACAGATACTTAGACAGGATCTATTAAATTCCTTCTAAAAATAAAACAACAAAACAAAACTACTCAGTAAGAACCACTACCTGAAGGCCAGAGGCTTTTTGTTGTTTGTTTGATTTTGTTATTTCCCCCCAATTAGGGTTCCCTGGAATAACAAGGAAGAGAGTCGTTATTTCTTATGCCAATCTGGGGAAAGGTGAGAAGGAGGGACAAAGATATAACACTTCATAACAAAATGAAGAACCAAGGACACAAGGGAGAGTCTATATACAAGTATGTCTCCCACCAAGGATGCAAAATCTATGTTTTTACATGAAAGTTTATATGGAATATGGCCTGTGTGGCCATATTCATTTTTCAGTATTTTTTTTGTAGTTAGTTGGGTTAGGTGTGCAGAATTAACTCTACATTTTCATATTTGCTATTAGATTCTTAAGTATATTTTCTATTTTTATTTTTTCACTGCTCTGGCACAAAACTTCAGGTAGGCTGGTTAGAAAAATTACTAAACACAGCATATGGAATAGGTGGTGAATTCAGGAATTGAGCGAACATGTTTGACTTCTATATTCCATTTTAAGTATTACAAACCTCCTTAGCATAGTTAGAGAAACAAGCACAGTCTAGAAAAACAAGCAGCACAAATGAACTAGCAAAATGGTGAGACCTTGACTAAAATAAAACTCAGATACAATATTCATTTTCAAATAGGAAACTGGGGCAACAATGTTTTCAAAATAAATTCTACTCGTCATAATAGCTCCCTATTACATTTCAAAATACAATACAATACAATGCTGAATGAAAAACTGAAGATGTACCCATGCTCATAACTGTAATAATCTTGTCCATATTTCTGGCCAGGATCAATCCCAGATTCCATGGATAACTCCTATTATTCAAAAAGAGAAATTTTCATTTTAAATGAATTCCTTACGTATTTCAGTTTCAAGTGAAATTTCCATACCTACACTTCATGCCTCTCCAAACACTCCTGCCAAAACAAGTTGAATGACAAGTGAGCTTTAACACATCCCTGTTCTCACAGTCTCAACCGTTTTCATGGAATACATTGGTGACGAGTTAGTGGGTCAACAGGAGAGCTCAGTATTCTTGATGGTAAATCTGGAGATGTTTTCAGGTGAGTAGTTTTAGGTAGCTTTTAAGATAGAAGTAACCAACATTAAACTACGCAGTAACTTATTCATGGCTCATGCAGCCAGGAAAACTGTTACACTATCTTTTACTTGCTCTGTGTTCCTACAGTGGATCTCTGTTACCCAGTGCTCCCAACATCAGACATTTGCCACCATCCAACAGTAATTCATACACTAAGAGGAACTTCATTTGATGCTGATTCTGGGCTTAAAAACCCCACCCCCTGTTTTTAGATCTAAGATTTCTTCTGACTCTTGGTAATACCTACTTTTCTCATACTTTTCTCAAACTCTGTTCAATGACAGTGCTTTCAGGTGGCTGTAGATATTAAATTAATTTCCACTTTAATTCCATTATATTAATAATAGTAAATGGCAAAGCTCAAGAGGACTGAATTTACGGAGGAGTCGGAGAGGAGGACGGAGGAAACTATGACTATCCACAGGGACGTAGGTTGGTATCTATAGATATCCACTCTTGATAGAAACTGGTATTGTTAAACCATGGGTAGAATAGATCAGGAGCTACTGGCTTTCGGGGAAGGCAAAGAGGAACCATTTCTAAGGCACACAAATCCTTAGCCAATGTGATAAATATGGACAGTGACTCTTAGTTAGATCACAACTTGCCAAATCATTTAAAAAGGTTAATCGTGGTTCACCCCAATCAAAGGATTCTACCAAAAATTTGGGATTTGGGTTTCTCTTGGAAAACAAAGGCATGGCATTATTGCATAACAAGATACGTAAGAATCTTGTTAGCGTTCTGTGCCTTCCATGAGGTCTGGTTCCTATGCGTCTTCTCCACAGCTCCATATCCATATTCAGTGTCACCCCGCAATCCGCCCCCTGCCTTGCTCTCACTTTATGAAGTCTGTTCATGTACATGACCAGTCAGCTTCCTGTAGTTATTAGGCTTACAATTGCCCTTCTACACTAATGCCAAATGACCTTGCAACCTACAAATACTTGGAAAACCAATTCAGTTGTGATGCTAAAACTCATTTAGCATTCCCGTTAGAATGAACATTGAAAAGATAATTAGCAATATTGCAGGTTTCCACATATGGTGGACAACTGGCACCTGTAAAATTTTGGGGTGTGTGTGTGGGGAATATAACTCTGCAAAATCCTTGGAAAATGTATACCACAATATAGTCTTCATAACAGTCCCAAATCAGCACCAATGTGAAGGTCCAAGACCTGAATCTATCATGGCTCTTCAGAACAGGATGGGCAAAGGAGACTGAGGTTCAGTACAGGTGGAGTGCGATGTGAGATCCCACTTATGAAAGAGGCTAGTAGCAAAGAGGCCATCTGCACGGGGCATGTTTGAAGCCTGGAGAGCACTTAGGCTGAGGGAAATGGATGCTTAGAGTTGGCTCCCATGCTAGTCACGCACGGGAACGCACTCTTGAAAGTTTCATCTAAGTGGTTTATGTGTGCTTTGTAGCTGTAGGGTTTAGTTCAACAGAATTTTCCATTACAGGGAGGGACGCATAAAAATTCAGGTGAGAAGAGGGCAATAAGAAATTAAAACAAAGTTAAAGCCTACTTTAAAGTTACTTTGAAGACCATATAAACTTCACACGGGTGAGTTCAGACTTTGAAGTGACTAATAGCATGTTAGGAAATAATAGCACGGAGGAAACTATGACTATCCACAGGGACGTAGGTTGGTATCTATAGACGTAGGTTGGTATCTAATAGCATATGTTGGTTTACATAAAGCAAGCACCTCAGAAATGTTACATTTCCACTGGTAATCAATGTGTGCCTAATCTAACTCATATAAGGTGCCAAGAAGAAACCTCCATGCTTTAAATTTCATTTTAGTAATGACTAGTTATACATATATATATATATATGCTATATATATATATATATGTTTATACTTCTATCTATATGTACTTTTTTATTGCTAAGGTAAGACTAAAACTCAGGTCTTGCTAGTTGCTGTATGGTCCCAGCACCGACTACTTTCAACAGGGTCAAGGTTAGAAGGGAACAAGACAGGAACTCCGGAGTGCAGTAAGATACTCTGTAGTTCTGAGCTGGGTCAAGATAGACAGGAACTAACAAAACTGTGAATGAAGAGTAGAATGTTGAGTTTAAAAAAAGAAAAGAAAAAAAAGAAGAGAAAACAAACAGAGGGAAAAAGTCCTAGTGACACCAAAGACCTCAAACTGAGCTGAGCAGGTGACAGGACTCAGCCTCTTCACTGTATGACAGGAGCCCCATCGGCATCTCTCGTCACTGCACGACATAGGTCCTATCTGCATCCCTAGTCACTGCATCACACAGGTCCTATCTGCATCC